ACTGTAAACGGAGGTGCCAGCTGGTCAGCGCAGGTTTTGAGGACACGTCCACTAATCCCGTCTGATCCAGCCGCTTTCCTGGTGTTCACACTTTTAAACACCCTCCTGACGTCACGCTCCGTCACGGCAAGTGTGTCCTCCCCTCCGGCTGGGAGCGCAGTGGGCAGTCGATTTCCCGACTCAAAGCGTGCAAAGGAGTTGTTGAGTTCGTCAGTCAGCGAAGCGTCGGCACTCACCGGGGGGGTGTGTGCTGCTTTGTAATCCGTGATGGTGCGTAGTCCCTGCCACAGTCCCCTGGAATCAGACTGTTCCATCAGTTTCTCCAGTCTTTGGCCGTAGCGGTGTTTAGCCTCTTTCACCGCTCTGCAGACACTGTAAGAGGCCGACTTGTATTCCTCCATGTTCCCAGAGGCGAGTCCCGAGTTATAGGCAGCGGTGCGGGAAGGCAGAGCGTCGCGGACAGATCTATCCACCCACGGCTTCTGGTTGGGAAAAGTCGTTTTAAATGCTTCTGTGGAAGAGGCAGCAGTGAAATATAGTCTATTTTAAAACAGCTATATCAGTGTATGCAATATTCAGAATATTTTCACCCCTTACCCTGCTGTCAAACAGCCCTTTCTTATGGAAACTGAAGCCATTATATCCGTCTGTGCTTTTTACAAAGCCACCAGACTACTTTGACAAAAACACAAATTTTACCTTACAGAAGAGTTTCTGGCCTCTTTCTACCGCGAACCACAGCACCTAATGTTAGATCATTAGACATGTGTTACTCCTCAGAGTAACAAATACACTTTAAGTAATAATTCACTACGACTTGAGTACAGAATTTCAGTACCCTTTCCATCACTGGTAAGAACTTGTGATTATCTTTTCAACTTAATTTCCTTATTGTCCTTCCTCTGCTCCTTATACGTACTATGGCACACTACATCAAGTGAAATATGTGCTCAGTTTGTTTTGTGTTTTTGAGAATAAGGAAATATCAACCAAGTTGTTTTTTATGCCATTTATTTCTCCGCTTGAAAATCAACCTTTATGTAGATCATCATCATATCAATGTTATAGATTGTTCATATTGTAAAAGGTACACAATCATTCTAATTTATTTTACTGTATCTCTCTCAGCACAGTATTGATCTGGTCTTGTGTAAAGGCCTGTTGTTCTGAATTGTTCTTTGAATATTTCCTCATTTCTATGACACTCCATGTATGTGCCAATATCCGTAAGAGGTCGGTGGCACACTACATCCGTAATTAAACCTTGAGGAAACTGCAAAATTGTTGTCTCAAATTGTTAGCAAGCTCTCGGCGATGGCGGCAAGGAAAAACTTTTTTTTAAGAGGCAGAAACCTCGGACAGACCCCAACTCTAGGTGGGTGGCAACAACTTCACTAATAGAACTGATAAATGGTGACGACAACGTCAAAACCAACAACGATGGGGGACTGTTACGTGTGTATGTTTTTGCCTCTGCTGTCTTGTCCTGTTCCAGGTAGCGCCCTCCCCTCCGACCGGTCAGGCACACCTGCAGTACCTTAGCAATCAGGTGGATTGCTAGAAGGCTGCAGCGATAGAAGCAGACGGAGCCAGTGGGCCAGATAGCCGGATACAGTCGTGTCGCTGTCGGCGTGTGAAGCAGAGCTGTGTGGCGCTCGTGGGTTACCATTATACCCTCAGTGGAGGGATAACGTCATTTATTTATTGTACCCCTGTTTTGTTTAGTTAAGTGTGTTTTCACTTCCTTCCTTTTTATGAAGTTGTTTTGTGTTTACGTTAGAAGAAATACTTTAAAAGTACCAATATTTCTGTTTCCTGCCCTTCTTTAAACGCCCGGGTAATTATTAATTGTTGCTCCCCTTTTTCCCCTGGACCCCACAACTGGGGACATAACAGGGACCATGATCAATGATAATAGTAGTAATAGTAACTGTAGTAATAACAATAACATCAGTAATATTAGCAGTGAGAGTCAAGCAGGACCATGGCAGGAGGCTCCACCAGGATCCATGAAAACCTACAAGAAGAGAAAGCCCAAGAACTCCGGGAAAAAGTGAAGTTAGTAACATGCATTAATGGGACATGAATGTGTGCAGAAAGAGAGGGAGAGGATGAGAGGAGCTCAGTGCATCATGGGAAATCCTATAATGACATAACTAAGGGATGGTTCACGACTCACCTGAGCCAGCCGTAACTGTAACCTTAATCAAAGAGGAATGTCTTAAGCCTACTCTTAAATGTGGAGATGTGCCTCCCGAACCAAAACTGGAAGCTGGTTCCACAAGAGAAGAGCTTGCTCCTGTTCTACTTTTAGAGACTATAGGAACCACAAGTAGGCCTGCATTCAGAGAGCGCAGTGTTCGAGTGGGGTAATAGGGTTCTATGAGCTCATTAAGATATGGAGTGGCCTGACCATAAAGAGCTTTGTAGGTGAGGAGGAGGATTTTAAATTCTATTCTGAATTTTACAGGGAGCCAGTGCAGAGAAGCTAATACAGGAGAGATATGATCTCTTTTCCTAGTTCCTGTCAGTACTTGTGCTGCAGCGTTCTGAATTAATTGGAGCGTCTTAATGGACTTATTGGGGCAGCCTGATAATAAGGAGTTACTACTAGTAACTCTTATTATGGCACCTTAAACAAAGAGTTGCAGTAATCCAGCCTTGAAGTAACAAATGCATGGATTAGTTTTTCTGCATCTGTCTGTGATAAGATGTGTCTAATTTTTGTAATATTACGTAAATGAAAGAAGGCAGTCCTGGAGATCTGCTTTATGTGGGAATTAAATGACATATCCTGATCAAAGATAACTCCAAGATTCCTGACAGTGGTGCTAGAGGCCAATGTAATACCATCTAGAGTAACTATATGGTTTTATAAGGTGTTTGGGGCCAAGTACAAGAATTTCGTTTTTTCTGAGTTTTTGCAGCTCCATGACTAACTGTAGTATTTATTGAAGATTCATTGTTAACATGTACAAACTGCGAACGATCTGATAAGTATGACTTA